TATTGATTTATTTTCTCAACTCCTCCATCTCAACACGACTCATGGAATAAGCAGCAACCGAAATAGGTTGGGTGTCTGACTGAAGATCTATGGTGAATTCAACTTCTTTGTTCACTAGTAGTCAGGGTAGTTCATCTGAAAACATATCTGGAAAGTCTCAAACTACTGGAATCTCTCGAATACAAATTTTTTTTTAGGTTTGCCTAATTAGAGAAAATAGTCGAGTTAAAGCACTTAATAATAGGAAAAATTACCATGAGAGAATAATGTTTAAATAATATTATTAATTTGTAAATGACTCTTCATTAGGAAGGTTGAATATAAGTTTCATATGAAAACAATCTACAGTGAAAACATCAAAGTCCTCTGTGTCAATCTCTATTAGGTCCACACTCAATTTTCTATCTGCTATATCTATGATACAAACTCTGTATATAACATTCTCCAGTAGTATCATACTCCCAGGAGTATACATAAATAACATAAAATCAATTCTTTTAGGTAATACATTCAAGTTTGGTGTAAAATCATGTAAAATAAATAAATGTGAGGCACCAGTATCAATCAAAATATGTACAAGATGATTACAGATATTGTACGTACTTTGTTTCACATATGGGTTGGCTTCTGCATCTTGCAAAGTGAGGTTGTAAGCCCTGCCCTGCATAGGAGGTCTGGCCTGATTCTAATTTCTTAGGAACTCTCTCGCGTAATGCTGGGCACTCAGACATATACGAAAAGTATTGTTGAGGCGATAGTAAAGTCGGTCCCTATGATCCTTGCCACAATGTTGGCAAGTCCTACCGCGTCCTGTTATTGGAATATAAAGAGGAGCTTGAGTCATTGGCCTAGGTCTCTTTTTCTGCTGAACAGGCATAATATGTGTTGGTCTACGGTGTAAAACCAAGGGCCTGAGGTTCTCTACTGCTTGAGGAAAAATGTGAAAGTTCCTCACCACTAACTGTGCCTTGGTCAAAATGGCCAAGTAAGTACTGAGCTCGAACACATATATCTGTTGTCTAATATTATAACAGAGACCCCATTCGAACTTTTTTGACTTTTTACCTTCATTCATCATGCTATCAGGGGAATACCGGTCTAACTCTAGGAACTTTCGAACATATTCTAATACAGTCATATTACCCTGGACTAGGTGTGCAAACTCTATTTTCTTCGGATATCGGAGATGCTCTGGGAGATACTCTACATTGAACGCCATCAAGAATTATTTTCAAGTGACTGGAACAAGTAGGGTGGCCTGCTTGAGTTGCCACCAGCAGCCTGCCTCTTCCATCAGCATATAGGTGGCAAGTATGACTCTCTGTTCGAGAATCACCCCAAGAGTCGTGAAGGCCTTCTCTATCTCAGCTAATTAGTACTTGACCTCTTCAAAAGATGATGCCCTTATAAAAGTAGATGAGTTTAGTCTTTTATACCTCTCAATGTAGCTTGGGTCCATCATGGGAGGAACTGGGTCCCGTGAAAGAGGGACTGGATTGTGTTGGGGATGGACTAGATGGCTCTGTAGTGGTACTGGATAATATGGTGGAGACATCGGATAATACTATGGTAGCGCTGTGTGATGTGGTTAGGGCATCGGGCTATATTGTGGTGGTGTCGGATGATGCAATTGGGGCACCAGACCATACTGTGGTGGTGCCGGATGGTATTGTGAAGGAGCAGGGTTGTACCGAGGTGGCTCAGGATCCTCCTACTGCAAGGGTGGCTCAACTTGTGGCAGCGGGGATGGTCAGGTAGCTCCTTCCTTTCCTCCCAAGTCACCTGGGCAGCGATGAGTCTCTCCAGCATTTCAAATAGTCGGTCAATATCCTCTCGAAGCGAACCCTCCCAAGCTGCTCGGTTTAATAGGGGTCTTCATCTCCTCATTTATCTGTACTTGCATTTTACAAGGAATGGTTGAGTGATGATTCATTTTTTTTTTGTTTCTTAAGGTTTTTATATAAGGAATGGTTCCGAGGAACCTAGCTCTGATACTAATTATAACGACCCAGAACTTAAAAGAAAATAAATTATAAATTGAATGCGTAAGTGAAATAATAAAGTTAGGATTTACATTACTTACATAATAATTTAGAATACCCAATAGGGCTACAGAAATGACCCTTCTAAAAGAACAAATGAAAATCAAAGAAATAAATGGAAAGTAAACAACTAAACATCCTATTCGTAACCCTCTTGTGGATCGAGATCTGGATCTTGATCCTCTTAATCTGAAATGGTTAATGAAAGAGTGAGCTATACTAACCCAGAAAGAATGCCACACTACTTACCGATACAAAAATGAAGGTTTGTAAAAATCATAAAAATAACTAATGGAGCTCTTAATTTAAGTACATTCATTTATCATAAATAAAATCATTTATTACATACTTATCGTAGCGAGATTTTCAAAACCGACCTATAGAGACAATAATATAACAACATCATAATCTCATATTTAAGTAAGTAAGAATAATAACTTTTTCTTTTTATCTGCCTACTGGTATCCATGGGGGTCCATAGGGATATCCTCACCACGCGTGAACCCTTATTTAACATTGTCAACTAACTGACTGTCCCCATACCTCGTCCAGTATGAGCGCAAAAAATACCATCCCTTAATATTTTGTCCAATATGAGAGTGAAACGGGTCGTCCCCATACCCCGTCATGTATGCGCGCAAAAATACCAATCCTCGATACCCCGTCCGGTATGAAGCAACGTTCACAGTAGGGTTCCCCATATACCCGGTCCATCCATTATCTCCCAAGATATTCAATAAAGTTACCATTCATTTATTCACTTAATCAAGTAATTTTTCGCTTACATTTAATTTTCAGTTTCATAATTTAACTGTAAATCACGAAAGACAAGCAATACATGCATCAAGAAAATATAACTGAATCATCTTACCAACTTCAGTTTATTATTATGCATTTAAAACTGTAAAATCAATCAATCAGTTAAAACATGACAAACAGTAATAAATAATCGGTTCCACCTTCATTAGTAACATGTAATTAATTATCGAAACTTTCTAAATTACACAAAATACCGTATTATTTATAATTAAACTTCAATTCCATAACAGGGAATAAGGTGAGGGATTCTTACCTGAATCGGTGTCCAAAATACTAAACTTTCAGCTGCGCCTATTGGCGATCCCCGGGTTCCCTGAATTTTTCTTCGGAAATTAAAACATGCTTCCAGTACCTAGAAATACCCCAAAAAATCAAAAATCAGTGTTAAAAATCTTTTTCGGCCAATTTCAGAATTCTGACACGGTGGCACCACCGTGCTGGCGCCTAATGTTAGGATTCAGTGTGAAGTGCGATATTTATACGCGTTTTCCTTTAATCTGGGTCGTTCATTATGTTTGATCTCGACCGTCCGATTGTGTTTAAAGAAAAAATAAATATGGACCGTTCATCGCAATTTGATCTGGACTGTACCATTGAATTTAAAGAGAAAACGAATCTGAACCATTCATCACGTTTAATCATGATCGTTCGATCGCGCCTGAAGAGGGAACAGTTCCAGATCGTTCGATCGCGGGCACGCGGATTGTCAGTGTGGCCTCCCGTATGGCATCAAGTCATACCACGCGACGCGTTCTGGTTCGTCGGGATTGCTGACTGAGTGGTCCTACATTATATATTTTTTCTAAATTACGTTTTGACCTCTAGTTTTCGATTTTTTTTTTCAAAAATATCATCCGAATCCAAATTTTCATCCATTTTTTTCAAAATTATTTTCAATTTTATCTTTCACCTATTTTTGCCTAATTTTTACATTAAATAAAATTTGTAAATTTAAAAATTAAATTTATATATATATTTTTTTATTTTTTTAAAAATTAATCCCGAACCAAATTTCGACCCCGAGTGTTACATATATACAGATAAATTATTGCCATCTCACATAGACAATTGGGTTATGGTCTAAGACTTGATGCATCCATATGAATCAATTTGGAATAGTTTTTTAGTTTCTTAACATATTCTTAAGTGAAAATTTGGCACTAAGCAAGCTTATTTGAATATACTAAAATGGAGAATATACTCTTGAATCCAAACATTGTGGAGCATTGACATAAAAAAGTGCAATGAATCAATAAAATCCTCCTCACAACTGATAAAAGTTTTAAACAACACCTGTTCCATTAGAGTTAATCGCGAATGTCTGAATAAAAAAGATTTTATTATTTATACGTGAAATTGGAAGTGATTTGTCTAAATGTGTGTCATAAAGGTTTTGAAATCGGGATGAGGTTAAGAGACATTGGTAGACGATAAACTAATTTTTATAGGAGGGTAGTCACCGAACAGCACCTTGCGAGGTTTCTAACTTCCCCACGTTGGAAAAGAAAAAAAAAAACAGATTAGACAAATTAGAAAAACTACTCTAATGTATCAAGTGGATGGCCATTTTTTTCATTTCCATGGACTGGACTTCGGGCCTTATTTTTATTGTTCTAAGAAAGATAACTATACTTGGTTTCTTGCTAATGAATGCAAATTTATGTTCCAGTCAAAGATTATATATATATATATATATATATATATGTGACTCCATCAAACAATATTAATTAATTAACACTTTGCATCAAATAATATTCATCTTCCTCAACAAGAATAAAAGTATACATTAATCATGTTTGAAAAACTAACTTTTTATTATTTTGATTATAAGTTATTACATTATGATTTTGTGTGTGTGTTTTAAATTTATAAGTTAAATAAAAGTATAATAAACCAAACACATTTTACTTATATTTGGTAACTCTGAATTATTTAAATCATACTACGTATTCTTATTATAGTATTTTGAATTCACACAGACACACAAAACCATATATATGTTCGGGTCAAAATTCAAAATATTCTTTCCAAAGAGAACTGCTTATAAAATTAACCTCCATAATTTCTTGATAGATCAAGCTCGATGTTCATACTAGAAGAAGCCAATTAAAAGCTTGAGAATTGAAGGGAAAAAACTTCATTTTCTTAACTCAAATGCACTTGATTACACAATATTATATAAAAAGAATTAAATCACATCCATAACTTATTTAAATAAATATATATATATATATATGTTTTATGTGATCATGGGATATTATGAGCAATAAGAGGAACTGGGGTATAGCCCCAGATTTTTTCATCACCCAACAATTCAATTTCTTCTCCGAGAGTCTCCTTGCGTCGGCAGTAAAAGACTGTATACGCCATGATCAGAAACAGTTTAAGCAAAGCAACTAAATTTACCATAACCAACCCAATAAACACTTGCAACAGCGTCGAGTGCGCGACGCCCATCGGCCTCACCATCTGGAACAGACCCACAGAAAGGACTCCACATATAATATTCAGAAGGAAGCATTGTAGGACCATGCCCTTAACCATGGCTGCAGCCTTCCCGAGTGCCTCGATTCCACCTTTGTCTTCTAGAACCGAGATAACAGTAGATAGATTCCAGACGACAGCTAGATATAAGTTAACGCCCACGAACAGAATTTCTAAGAGGATGGCTAAGACAGCTCGTAAGGCAGGTAGGGTTTGAGTAAAGAGTGCAAGAGACAACAGAGGAAGATAGAGAAGGAAGATTACTAAACCAAGATTGAAGATAAAAATAAAAAAGTAAGTTACGAATGGGTTCTTCCATGATTTCAGTGTCTTCAACAACAAATTCTTGATGGATATGTTTCTTGAAGAGCTGGCAATGGCGGAAGCGAGGATGGTGACGATTGAAAAGAAGAGAGAGGCGAGGTAGATGAGGATGAAGGAGACCCACTCTAGGCCAACTAAGAGTTTGAGATCTGTTAATAAGGCGGATAGAAGAGAGTAAAATGCAGGGGTGGAAGGGGCTTGTGGCGGCAATGGAGATGAGCTTTGAGTAACAGTCAACGATGAGGGGTTTGAAGGAGAAGAGAGATGATAAGAAGATGGCGGAGTAAAGGAAGAGGGTGAAGAAGACGATGAAGAAGATGAGCTTCTTGTTTTTGAAACACAGTAGGCGGGTTTCATTTAGAATTTCCACTAAATCAACAAGCATCTGCCACGCCATTATAGCCCACATGAGATCTGCTTTCTTCAACTTATGAATCACAACACTTATATATACAGGCATATATGTGTATATAAAATAGCTAGTTCCATGTCTTCTTTGAATAGGTCTTCACCTTTTTATTCAAGTGGGCGTGTTGACTAGTAGGCTACAAAGATTCAACACGCCGGACTGAGAAGTTTCCACCTGTTTTAAATGGATATTATTTATATAAAGTAAAACCAGAAACATAATAATTTTTAAATAAAATAAAATAAAATTAATTTGATAATATTATATAATAATTTTTAAAATTTTTTTTGAATAAAGACAAAATTCTATTTTTACTTAACTACAAATGCACCAAATCATAATTTCTATTTACCTATTTAAATATTACATTAAATAAATTTTAATAATAATCATTATCTATTAAATATTTATAAAATTAAAAAAAAAAATAGAATTTAATTTTTAGTTGACAACAAATGCACTAAATCACAATTTTCATAAATTGTTTAAAACTTTTTTATTTCTATTATTTATTCATTTTTTTTTTATCTTAATCTAATCAATATTCAATTTGAGTGTGATAATATATTTAGTTTATTTTTTTTCCTTTTTTCATTTCAATTATACAGATATTCTTGAAATTATGAGACAGATTATGAGTTCAAAAATTGTTATGAGGTAGATGCATATATATTTGGTTAAAATTTTTTATCTTTTATTATATTTTTGTTATATTTCATAATTTTACTACTTATGGAGATATGATAATTTTAGAGCATGCTTTTTAATAGCTTAAGCAATATAGATAAAAAATTTATTGTAATTTTTTCTGTGTGCATGAGGCTCAATTTATTCAATTAATAGATTTACTTTGAATCATACAATAATTTAATTTTTATTACATTTATTTACGATACACTTATATAGTTACCAAATATTAAAATTAATTAAATTTTTATTAATTATTTTATAAAAATTTCCAAATTAAGTTTCTATTAGAATTAAAATTATATTGTTAATTAAAAATTTAACAAAATTACAATATGTACATAATCTGATTTGGTCTAATAGGGTAACAACAAAATTATTTCCACAACAAGCTTTTATCTTTATACTAAATTTAATTAACTCTTGTGTGGAGGACATAAAGTTGGGGATAATGGTGGAGGAGAGGGTTCGAATTAGTTTAGTGTTCTCTAGCTGCCGACGCTGAGCCACTGATAATGGAGTTTGTGGTGGTGGATTTGATATAAGATTTAAGTAATATTCATATTAGTAAAAGATGTCACGTGTTAATTATTATTTTAACTTAAACACATATATATATATATATATATATATGATACTATACTATTGAATTTAACTAATAACCTGATCCATCGAAAATGAAGTTGACTTGTTATCTTGACTTTAGGTTTGAGGTTTTTTTTTTTTTTTTGAAAATAACCAACTATCATTCACTAAAGTAGCAAACATGCAAGCTCTGGGGGATAAGCTTTCCTAGATATGGAAACAAGAAATATGTTGTGCCACTCTAACAAACTTATAAGCTATTGATTATATTGTCTTTTAACCCATCTAATTGACACATTATGCATCAGATTAAGTATTTTCTTATAGTCCTGAATGATAAAACCAAATTCAGAGTAATCTTACTCACTGGATAGCAGAGCTATATGAACTAGTTAGACATCAATCTCCATTATACCAGATCTCAGTACATGATCCCTAAAATATAGTAACGTACAATGACACCCCAAAACTTCCACCAGGTAAGGGGAGTTACATCCTTGAAATCGGCCTAAGAAAGCTGCCAACATGCAATTGAGTTTAATTATAATACCCGAGTCCGAAATTTGGTATAAGATCAATTTTTGTGTTTATAAAAATAATTAAAAATATTATTTTAATTTTATTTTATCAAATTATTTGAGAAAAAATGTTAGAGACGTAATTGAAAGCAATTTTGGGGAAGAGATATGAAAATTTGAGTTTGGAGAGTATTTTTGAAAGAAAAATTGAAAATAATGGGTCAAATGAAAAAAAATAATTCAGCAACGTGGAACGACCCAGTCAGCAGTAGCGACAAAGCAGAGCACGCCATATGACAAAACACACTGGCATTGACGCCACGCGGGAGGCCACGCAGCAATCTACGTGCCCAGCTATCCGACGGCCCAGATTCAATCCCGTGTGCATGAACGACTCAGATGTGTTCCCTCTTTAGGTGCGATCGGATGGATGAGATCAATCGTGATGAACAGTCCAGATTTGCCCATGCAATCAGCCTAAACAGGCAACAATTGGACGATGCTCCTCGCTCCACGTCGACGCGAATAGACAACCTAGATCAATGCGAGATAAATATAAAAACATCATGTTGCAAGGGAACCCTAACCTTAGCTGCACTTGCCATTGCTAGAGAAGAAGGACCAGTCGTTGGAGAATGAGACCGACCCCCGTCCGCTGCCACACCGGAGCCACTGCCGAACGTAAAAAAAATGTAAAATTCTACCTATCCGCTCGGAATTCAATTCCAAGTCTCTCCGTGGCCATATCAAAGCAAAAGGGATGGTGGGTAAACCGAAAACCACGAGCAAAGTCCGACAGAGCTACCGCAGCCAAAACCTTAAAACCCCTCTGATGAGCCCCTTCCTGTTTCCCGTTTCACCCAATTTTTTGACCATTGTGTTCAATGTCCTTTTCTGTGCATGTTAGCCAAATAAGAAACCCCTGCCGTGAAGGAGAACCAGCGGAGCCACTGAACTTGAAGAGCCCCTACCGGAAGGTTCAGTTTTTTGTGATTTTTTGACTAACTAAGGTCCCATAACGTATTTTTTCGCAATGATACCTGTAAAATCGATCAAAATCGGACAGACCGAGGTGAACCGCTGCCGTGTGAGGCAAAGCTGAAGCCGGTGCACGGCGGCAACGCAGTGCTAGAACCTTAAAATTGGCCATAAAGAATTTTCGACACCGATTTGAGGTTTTTAGAGTATCTTTAGTTGCGTGACGAGTATTTTAGTTTTCACATGAAAATTAAGAAAATCTGGGATTCGTTAGGAGGCGTAATAGATAGTGCAACATCTCGAAATACCAATTCGGGTAAGAATCTCTCACTTTATTCTCTGTTACGGTAAATGGAGGCTTAATAAATCAGTAATCTTGTGTTTTGTAAAAATTAATAAAATCCTAACAATAATTACAAGTCACTAGTGGAGCAGGAAAACAGGTCAGTGTACGATTGCTCTAAGCTCGTCTATGTGACTATTTATTTTTCTATACTGCCTAAATTGCTTATTATTCTGCCGTATGATTTAAATTATTATATTTAATTGCTTTCTCATTATTAATTGTCTGATTGTGATTCTTATCTGATTGATTGATTTGAAATGAAGACCTTAATTACGTTTCTTAATTGTTAAGGTATAAAAATATACTATTTGTTTAAATGTCGTTTGATTAATTTGTGAATATAAAATGATATGTTAGTAGGTGATTGGTGGTTACTTATTGATGGGGATCTATATATGAAATACTTACTAGGTACCTTGAAAAATGATGGAAGGACCCGGTACATAGGGAGAATCTTACCGTGGACAATACCTCAACTGGACGGGGCTGAGGGAACCTATACTGGAAGGGTTTGAAGATATAGTTCACCCTCATACCGGACGAGATATTGAGACGATGGTGTGTTTGGCACCCATTATCGGATGGGGTATAGAGATGACCGAGTAAATTAACAAATCTAAATATTGGATTCAAAAGATAGGAGATATCCTTATGAACCCCCTAGGAATCCCAGTAAGCAAGTAAAAAAGGAAAATGACCGACTTTACTCATTTGTACATTAAATTATAAATGTTGTATGGGTGTTTGTGTTATACGTTGGTTTTGAAAAACTCATAACGGTAAATGTGATAGTAATATTTTACCATTAAATAAATTGATTTATATAATGGGTTTCATTAGCCGTTTTGGTTACTTTTACCCAACTTTTATTTTTCATATCAGATATAAGCGGGGTTATTCTTATTAGGTTAGGGTAACTCACCATCTTGATAAACTATTTCAGATCAAGAGAACCAGAATGAAGATCTCAATTTGTAAGAAGGGTGTAAGTAATTTACCTCATGGACCCCATTCAAGAACTAGTTGATATTAACTCCTATGACATTTATCTATTTATTTTAAATCATTTATTTTTTTTCTTTTTACGAGCCACTGTAATATGTACATTTTTGTATTCCTATTGAGTATTTTAATTTACTGTGTAAGGAATGTAAATTCTAATATTATTTTTTGCTTCTGCATTTAAAAATACTTCATTTCCTTTAAATTACGGGTCTTTACACTAATATTATTGCACGAAAGCCCACTCCATCGCCTGAACCAAAAACAACCTTGTCCACATTGCATTTCTAGAATCCTGATTCCAGTCATTGCCATGCTTGTGGGGCGACTTGGGGCGAATGTTGCTCGTTCTCTCGGTTTCGGATATCTTTTGTTTGCTTCATTCACTTATAAATTTTCATAAATTTTTGTTCACTTACAAATTTCCAAACGAAGTAAATGGAAGTTTGAGGTTTTAAATGTTTAAAAATTGAGTTAAAATTTAAAATTTTTAAAAACTCACAAAACACCGGTTGTCATCCGTACTCCAAATTTGGTGGGCTCTCTTGTTCGAACATGATTGTATTTATTTTCACCATCTTACAATAATCATACTTTTAATTCTCAAAAGAACCCCAAAAAGATCCTATTACGGAGATCCCGTTTTTTAAGAAAACACACGACTTCGAATTTTTGTACTTAAACACTCACTAGACTGAGTATTTTATTTTTATTTGCAGGCTTAAAAATCTTGCATAATCTGAATATTGAAAAAATAAAAATAAAAACAGAAACCTCGATGGGTTGAAACATTAGACAAAAACTTGGACATACAAACTAATCCACCTAAAAATGTAATAAAAAAAAATATACAGAAATGTCAAAACTAAAGTTAAAAAAAAAAAACAACAACAAAAAACAAAGACAGGGAAAGAAATTACAGAGTATGAGGTAAAAAAATTAAACAGTAACAAAGCTCGCGTCTTCACCCTTGATTACTTGCCGTTTCTTGCACCCGCAGTAAAAAACTGTAGTAACTACGTAGCACCACAACACTTCTATTCCGTACAAAAGAACCAGTGCCACTGCATCCCACCTTTCAATCACCACCGTCCACCACGACAACGTGGATAAATCCAGATCCTCCATCAATTCCTCCAGCTTGTAATCGACGAAACCCGACACCGCGATGAACGACGCTGACAAAGCCCATCCGGCAACCCTTCTTCCTTCCATCACCTCCGATCCGGCCCGGATCGCCTCCCACCCGAACCTCTCCTCCACGACGGACACCACAAGCGCCAGACCCATCACCCCCATCAGGTAAATTTCGAAAACCGACGCGGCAACCAGAACCGCCAGCTTCAACCTGGGTTCGGAGCTGAAAGGAGCTGCAATAAAGATCGGAACCGGGGCGTAGAGGAGTAGGAGACCGTAGACGAAGATGGCGGTGACGGAGACCCTTTTCCATGCGGTCTTCGCAGCGGAAAATGAGGATATGAGAGAGGGTCGGCGGCGGTTATAGGAGAGAGATGTGGAGGTGACGGCGGCGAGGCAGGAGAGGAGGGAGAGGAGAAAGGAAGGGAGAAAGAAAAGGGACTTGAGGCGAAGAAGGGAGAGAGCCTCGGCTCGTGATTCTTGCCAGACATGGCGGGCCTCGAAGCGCGTGCGGGTGAGTGCGGCGATGGCCTCTAGGTGGTAGATCTGAGCTTTGAGGGGGCGAGAGGAGAAGGAGAGGGAGAAGAGGAGGAGGGAGAGAGGGAGGGTGAGGAAGAAGAAGATAAAGAGGAAGATGCGTTTGTTTCTGAAGAAAATCTTGATTGAATCAAGGATCGTGGAGGTGAGCTTTGTGTTGGATATAGGCGGCGAGTGTTTCTCATCAGAGAAAGAGTCATCTCCTTCAGACATGGTGTTTTTCTACCAAGTGTGTTTATGCTATAGATAAATAGTAATCACAAACTGGGTTAATTAATTACTGTTAAGAAAATTTAATTAATTTTTTTTATAACTAACAAACAGGATATTTAGATCTGGGTCTAGATTCTTTACTTTCTATTCAATTATGTATTAACAATTGAGATTTTATATATTTTTTAAAAAATTAAAATAAATAGATTAAAAAAATTTATAAAATCTGTGAACTTATTTAACTCCCAAGCACCTAATGATTACTCTCCTCCTCTTCAACGCTTAGACCCATATAATAATCAGTTGTAGTTATCGCCATGATCAAAAGAAAACAAAAATGGGAAGAGAAGCTATTTGGTCGGGATTTTTAGAAATAAAATCACCAAGAAATAAGTTTCTGAAGTCTGAAAAACAAGTTTTGGTGTCACCCATTTAGATTTGTAGGAAAAAACCAAACAGGAGATCCAAGATTTGCGCGCTGCGTCTTTCATAAGCATTCACCAAATTGTTGAATGTTATTTACAGAGAAACTCATCATCTGGTGAAACCTTACAGGATTGTTACTCAGGCACGACTGTTCTTGAGGCTGAGTTTTCTAACCAGATTAATTTATACAATTTACCCTGATGACATGAAATGGTCAATTCTAAAATAATAAGATTGCTCGGCCAACCACAACACTGTCAACTGCTGATAAGAATCCTGGCCTCTTAACAAACATTCATCCTTTCATACAACATTAATCCTCTACTACTCCAATACCCATTCCATCATTTCCTCAATGCGATACTCCCATTCGTGCAATTTCCAAGCCCTTCTTTCGTTGGACCATTGAAACTTGCTGTGCCTTCTGACATCCTGAGCTTTGTTTTCCACAAGTATGGGTGCGTTGTCTATAGATTTTTCATTTTTATGAGGCTCATTCTTCTTTGATACTTCACCGAGGATCATGGTGGAGGCACAAGCCATATTGACTCACATAGCAGAGTACAAAACAATTTTTCCTCCATAATTACAACCGGACTTACCACAGAACTTGAGAATTTTGAGAGAAGATAGTCCACGAAATTCCTAGCAGACTGGTGAAATGAGGTTGGAAGCTGCTTGTTGGATTCTTAAAAGTCATTGTGGTTGGACAGCTTGTCTACAACTTCCCATGAATATAAGGTAAGTGACTGCTACGAGTTCAATATGTGGGGCATGTTATGCCACCAGCAGAGCAACAAAGGAGGCTGCGAATAAAGGAGGCTCTTCATAGAGGTCCATGACTGAACAGATAGAAACACCGGGAGCCCAACAACCAAGTCAAATGCTAGATATTATATTTCTTGTCTTAAATTCCAAGGAAAGTACCCAATGCAATGCTTCTGTGTCTATTTCTATTATACTAAATCATTAAGAAGAATTTACCAGAAAAAGGACAAACAAACAGCTAGTAATTATACATGTTTGTGAGATATTGAGATCATCCTCAAGTTATTTCACCTCAGTGGAGGAAGCCAGATTTTTGAAGATCCTACTGATGCTGGATGGCGATGGATGATTTAAACAGAACACAGAAGACACCAAGAAAGTATTATCTTATTATGTATGATAGAAAACAACAATGTATCACCCAACAGCCTATGATTTAAGACTATAGACTGCATACAAAAGTATCTTTCTCAACCTAAGAAATTGTGTCAACCATGAGAGGTTAATAGAAAGAAAAGAAATCTTTCCGAGCCTTCCAGAAAATATTAAACATATAGAGGAAAACAGTTCAAGATCTTCCAATTGAGGATTTAACAGAGAAACAGAAGAACAGGCAACAATACTAAACTTGATTCAGTGTCATCTTTCCCGGTCTGTGTGTATATTAAGAAGTGATTAATGCAGCAAAACATGGCATACCATTCAGAAGAACACAACAATACATACACACTTTCCCAAATTTCCTACTTGGAGCACATAAGACACAAGATAAAAGCCACAGCTTAAACAGAATCTCGAAGCCCTTGGAAAGGGGTAAAAGTAAATAGGGAATGAATAGTTAAAATTGATCACAACTATTAATTGTAAAATTTTCGGGGTAAGCCTTTGCTGCTTTTCCCGAAAACTGATAATGTAAGTTACTTCAGTGAAAAATATTGATGCAGTAAATAGCTCGTTCAGAAAATAGCTTCTAGATGGGGCACCCCCCACATCTACATTTTCAAAATCGAATATAATATCAAGACCAAAAAGATTTTATGTCCGGGTATTGAAGCTAAAAGTTATTCCTTCGTTATAATGTTAGGTTTAGTTTCTGGAGATAAAGAAATACAATATGAATCCCCATAAGAAGAACCTATGCAGACAAGGGGAAAAGGCAGTTTAAATCCCAATGATTATCAAGCTTCACAGCCTTTTTCCTTCATCCTTGTCGAGGCCAAGATCCTCTCTTCAAAATGTCAAAGTCATCTTCTGAAATAAGTGACATCAATACCATGCCAATACATTTAACAAGATCTTATGAAGCACAAAATTGGAAATAACCAATCATCAGCAACATTTGTCAAATGATAACAATTTAATAAGTCTAGTAATAAGTAACTTATTTCAAATAGACTAAGCAGGTCAATGAACAATCCGATCCAATAACCTTTGGCAAAACAGAGATCCAATCCAATTACTATCTGCAGAATAATTTCTTTTCTTCACAAAAATAGAAATAGTTTCCGGGTTTTAATTTTGCACCTTTCCTCTTTGCAATGGCCCAAATTCATGAAATACTTCAGAAGAAAGAAGGGATAAAACAACTAAGAGGAGAATCACTGAAATCACACTAATGAAAACAGTAAACTCCATGAAATGGAAAAGGAAAACAAAGTGTCCCCAAACCAACTTTGAGGGAAACTAGTTTAATTAAGAGATTTTGTGATCAATCCACCATAATCTATCTTCAACATTGTCACGTTTCGGTGCCTAAATCAAATCTCACCCAAAAAAAAAAAATCCATGCAGTATTACTTCTGTAATTTACCTCTGTCTTCTGGAAATTTCAAGCAATCTGCTTCCCCAGTTCTTTTTTTCTTTAAGAGAGAGAGAGAGAGAGAGAGAGAGAACTTTGCTTTTCCTCACCATATCTCATGGAAATCACGGGTGGATTTACCTTATGCGCAAACAAGTAGGTAATATTGAATTGAGTGAGGATTCACAACATTTAATAAATGGACATAAAATTAATCCCTGCTGACATCCGTGTATGGAATGCCAAAAGCATTGGACTTCATAAATGCTAAGCTTTATCCCAAATGGTTAGGCCTTTCCAAAGCCATATTTCGTCTCCCTAACATCAAGATCCATGAGTACCATTTGCCTTTTTTCCTGTCAAACCCAGTTTCTTCCAAGGAAAGGGGAAAGAGACATAAAAGCTACACGACCTAGGTTTCAATTGCATGCATCATTAAAAAGATTGGCTTTTCTTCCTAATGAAATCCATGTATATCAATTCAATAACCAAAAATATAAAAAACACCCGACTTCAATTTAGCTGCAATAAACATAAATGGAAATGGGGGCTGCAGGTCAATCATCATTTTTTTCTCAGGGATAAAACGATGATGATTTTTATATAAAATTGAGACTGTACACAATCATCATTACAAATCTCTTTAACAGAAACATAGATGCTACAAAAATCTCAAACTCCTTGAAAGAAAAAAAATTAAAAAAAAAAAAAAAAAAAACTTACATATCTAACATAGCCTGAAGCCATGATTTCTCCTTCTCCGACCAAAAGTAGTCCAAAACTCCTCTTTATCATCCTCCAATTGCACCGTCGATCGGCAAATGGGACAAGCCGGCACTTTGATCAACCAGGTATCCACACACTTTCCTGTGGGAAGACGTGACCGCACCCAACGAGTTTCCTGCACCATTGGCCTTGTTTGAAGCCATCAAGACAAACGACGCAGTCGTTCTCCATCTTTTTGGAGAGCTTGAATTGGGGGAGCTTCTTCAACCGCTTCGAACAGAAGCCCTCCGACGACGGGTGATTGCGATGGTGGCGATGGATCGAAGCGAGAAGGAGGGGGAGGAGGAGGAGAGAGGCGAGACCCATGAGGAGGAAAAAGAGAGAGGTTATAAATACCATAATAATCGATTTGAGAATGAGAGAGAGGATTTTGGTGTTGGGCTTTGGCGGTGGATGTGATGGTGGAGGCGGTGAGGGATCACCATGGGGTTGGTAAACGGGAGGCAGCGGCATGGAGGTGGGCTAGTTTTGGGGTGAACGGTGGAGGTTGAGGAAGTTAAGTAGGGGGAAAGGATGGGTTAATTACAGATGGGATAGAGATTTTTGGAGAGGAGATCTCATCGAAGTTACTGGTTCATAACTTCATAGGATATGGTTAAGGTTCCTGTTTCAGAATCGAAGCTGTGGGTAAGTTGACCTTAGGTCAAGTGAGCCCAAAATTCTCTTTATAAAAAAATAATAATATGAACTTGGGAGGCTTAAGTTTAAATTTAAATTTCATAGAAGGATGAATTTATTAATTACTTTTAAAAATTGTAATTGTACATAAATATATTTCTAATTCTTATAAATTTATAAAAATGACCCATCATTTATACTTTTCATTTAATGTCTATTTGGTTTTATTTTTTAAAATAAAATTCTAAATCAAATACTAACACAAATATTTTTAAGATAAAATCAAATTTTTGATAAACATAAAATTCAAAGTTAAAAATAGATATATATAAAGGCCTCGTATCAAAGCATATAATAGTGTTGGAATTAAAGGAGAGAGTAAAAACAAAAATTATATTAACGTATATTTTTTTATTTAAATTTTTAATTAATAGGCTAAATTTTAAATAAGTAAAATTATAATAAATAAATTATATTTAATACTTATCGTTATTTTACATGATATGAATAATTTTTATAGATGATATTCAATCACTTATTATTTTTTTAGATAATTTAAATTAATTAATAATTTTAATAAAAGATAAATTTTAACAATTTAAAATATTCTAAACTTTTAATTATTAATCAAAATCAACAGGACTAATTATTAATCAAATCAGTTGCTTTGTAATTTAGGAGATAATGTTTAGAGGGTTCTTGAGCTATGGAAAAGAGAATGAAAAAGACGAGAAGTAAAAGCTAGACAATTTGATGGTAACTTAAAAAACATTATATATATGTATATGTATTAAAAACACACACACACATATATATATACATACGTATATTATATTACGTGGTCATATCAGCAATCATATCTTAACAAATTTATAAGTATTGTAAAGAATTGTTCAATAAGGACTCGTTTAATAAAAATTTAAATTATACAGCGTAGTTAAACATAAGAAAAAATAATAATAAATGAGTTTACTCTTTTTAAAAAAAAAGAAAATTAATAAAGTTATTCATCTCTCCTAACCCATTTTAATTTTTAAAATTAAAAATTTATTTTATATATATATATATATATATATTTTTTAGTTCATCTTGTCAAAATTTTAATTAAAAATTTAATATATATGCTCATAAAATTAATGATACGACTGCTAATTATACATGCAACGGCTTAGTGTAATTTCTCTTTTCTTAAAAGATAATCTGCATTAATAATGGATACTTGTATTAACATCTAATTTGACCTTAATTTTGTAATAACTGACTAGGTACAACGTTAATTTACAAAACATAATTACTGATATTTATAATAAAATATCTATATAAATAGTAAGAATTAAAAACCTAAATACATTAATTTGGTGCCTTCTGCTCCAAACACTCACCTATAAATTAAACAGGAGCCCAGAGATTTAAACTCACACCCCATTTGTTTCTTGGCAAATCAAAAGCTATAACCTAACCTAATTGCATCTTCTGCTTTGTTTGGTTACCAAGAAAATAAAAATTTTACATCCATTTCGTTTTATTCAGTACTAACTGAAAAAATAAAATAAAAAAGATGGGTATTGAAAAGAGCCATTTGGTCATTACGGGCACTGCCATTGTAATGGCATATCTCATGTCTGTAGCTTTTGCCACCCCCGGCATTGCCACTTTTTACACTAATTATGTCCGTAAGTACTATAGTTTATTCTTAATTCCATACCCAATTCAGGACTACTATGTCTAGTTTATTCTTAGTCTCGTACTCGGTTCGAGATTATCGTGTTGTTATAAATCGATGATTTTAATTTTTGACATTGTTGCAGCATCGGCGTGTTTCGGGAACCAAAACAATGGAGTGATGGTAGCGGCAGCAGGGGATGCATTATGGAATAATGGTAAGGTATGTGGAAAAATGTTCAGTGTGAGATGTACAGGTCCAAGAAATCCAGTGCCACATCCATGCACGAACAAAACTGTAACGGTGAAGATGGTAGATCATTGTCCTGGATGCCCTTCTACTATTGATCTATCTAAAGAAGCTTTCACCGCTATTGCTAATCCTGTCGCTGGCATTATCAACATTGATTATACTCAGTAATTATCTATTAACCCTATACAGTTTTTCTTTAATCATCTTTTTACTTAGTCTTAATTTGGTATCATTAGTCTGCTAATCCCAACTTGACTTCGTTTTTACAGGTTATAATTGTGAAGAACAGACATTCGTATATTTGGTGGCAAGATTAGAAGAAACATATCAATTTTTTACAGAATAATATTTTCTTCATAAAATAAATCTTGTTCGACACTGATATAATAATAATAATACAAATATTGAAATTATTCTACATTACTATTGTTGCAAATTATTCCATAAACATAAAGCAAATCAATTTATAAATAATCACTTCATAAACTTATGATATTACTAATTTTAAAAAAGATTGTTGAATATATTTATCACATATGTGCACCAATTAACGGCAAGCTAAGACATAAAATGAAATATATATATATATATATATATAGTACGTAAATTAAGACATATAACTAAGAATCTAGTTTTTTAATTCTCCCAAAAAAAAATAAGCATTTAAAATGGAATTTCAAAATAAATAATTTGAAATTATATAAAGTAAAATGTGAATTTGGTTGTGGTCTAATCCTATTAATTTGGGCCAAATTTCCACGACCTCGTCAGCGGGTGGAGCCACCAGTCAAATAATCAAAAAGGATTTTGCAAGATCTCCGATATTATTAATATTTTGAACATATAATATATATATATACAAGAACATATCATTCTAATTTTTCAAATCCGACATTTTTCGTAATATAATTTTAATATGATATTTTATAAAAAAAAGAAATTAATAAAATTATTACCACATTGTTAATACTATCAATAGTTATGGAATTAAAAGTGAATAAATTTTATTATCAAGAAGTTTATGTTTGTGTTACACAAGAAAACTTTTATTAAGATAATATTTTATTAAATAACATTAAGACAGTATCGTAGAAATTTTAAATTTTATACTAAATATGTACAATATTGTGGTCATTAAATAAAAAATAATAATAATAAAAATTTGAAATTAATAAATTAAGTTTATGAAATATTTAAGTAAAACTTACAATTCATGAGAAATTGAGTTCTTTTATTTACGTATGCAATGAGGATTGATGATGACCAAAATTTTGACGTAATTTTCTTAATTAACATAATCACAATTAATTAAAATTGTTATTAAATAAAATCTCTAATATGTGATCAAAGTCAAAATTCATAATAATTACTTGGTACCATAGTTTCTTCCTTATTTGTCTTTCTTTGAATCTTCCTGGTAATGAAGTGGGGAAAGAAATATGCAATGATGGAAGCATATTATATACTTTTATGATAAAAAAAAAAAAAAAAAAAAAAAAAAGTAATGATATATTTTTGTAGATTTAAGTCTATCATATATAATTATCGACTATATGGTAATTTAATAGTAAAATTTTTATATTTTATTTAAATATTAAATGCTCAAATTTCATCAAAGATACCATACATAAAATTTTTTATTTTATAAGTTAAATACAACTTATTTTTTAATTAAGATAGTTATAATAATTTAAAGTTTGGATTATATTTTTTGTTTTAAAAAAAAAAAAATCTTCAATAGAGTCAACGTCAAAGTCAAAATTAGTAGTAATTACTTCCCACAAAAATTTCTTCCTTATTTCTCTTTCTTTGCACCTTCCTAGTGGTTGAGTGGGAAAAGAAGTATTCAATTATGAGAAGCATTATATACTTTTACGATAAAAATTAATTATTAATTGCAAATTTATGAATATGATTGATTTATCTTAAATATTTATAAAGAAATTCTAAAAATAAATTTAAAAATATTAATTACATTGATATGTCAAATTTGCTAACTATTTCATATTTCTTAAAATTTTAATTTTTGTGAAAAATTACTTTAAAAAGTGTATTTAATGCAGTCACACATTCTACTGTAAATTATAAAAATAATATTAAAATGGATTTTAAATAAAATTATTTTTAATAAAAAATTATTAGATTTTTAGTAAAAAAAAAAAATATTGTTATTTTAAAAAATGAATGGTGGGTATTTAGTTAAAGTAAACATATCCTTACCCATACAAGAAAAGCAAATATAAATGAATTAGATTTTACAAATATAAATGAAGAAGACAACTCTGGCGTGTTGTTTAATCAAAGAAAATTGTCAGGAGTGGACCAACGATAGTGGAGGACATGACATGGAAACCAGAGTGAGAGAAGGGTAAAAAGAAAAAAAAATGGCTATAAAAAGCGGAGAAGAGAATTTGATTTCAGTTAGAAGAAGCATAAGAGAAGTAACAAATTACATATTAAAAACAAAATGAAGATGGCGATCGGAACTGTTTTACTGATGGTGGCCATAGTTTCATGCTTATCCTCATTTGCAAACGCCGCCCAGGGACTCGCCGTTTACTACCCGCCCCGCAACAACAACTACCTCCGTAAGCACATATTCTATATCCCATCTGTATATATATTTACATGAATACGTATGTTTATGAAGTAATTGATTTTCAACTATTTACAGCATCCAAGTGCTATGGGTATCAAGATAATGGGTGGATGGTGGCGGGAGTGAGTGATGCGCTTTGGAACAATGGCGCAGCCTGTGGGAGGAGGTACAGAGTGCGATGCATCGGAGGAGCCAACGCCGCTCCACATCCTTGCAAAGCCGGTAGCGTGGTTGTTAAAGTCGTAGATTACTGTAGATCAGTTTGTTATGGAGATATCAATCTTTCCCAATATGCTTTCTCCCAGATTGCTGATGTTAATGCTGGAAAAGTCAGAATTGAATATTATCAGTACGTGTCTCTCCCCCTACACTGTTCTTATTTCCTTAACCATCATTGTCTAATACGTTATTTTTTTTTGGCAGGGTTTGAAGTTTGAAGCTTTTCTATTTGGAGAGGAGAAGATGTTTATTAAGCATTAAGCAAAAGAAGTGTTCTCTAAATAGTTATGAATAAATCAAGTACCTAACTTGTCTTTTGCACTTAATTTGATGTATTCACTCTTCCGGGCTGCATTTTGTTATTGAGAATAATAAAATATTAATGGGTATTCGGGAATGTATGTGAAAGAAAAAGACTTTGAAAGATTGGTTAATTCCCACTAATCTCCGTGATAAATATAATTGTAGACAGAGAAAAGGTAAGTCAAATTGTTAAATAACTATTATAACCTATTATTATCCATTCACTTGTACGAAATTCAACACTTTCTAAAATTAGAATTCAAACAATCTGGTATCTTGCTGACTGAAACATGGTAACAGCTCCGTTATTCCAAGAAAAAAAACAAACTGCCAAATTTTGCCAATGCTTTTTATCCTCAACAACTATTTGGCGTTGGCCCCATGGTTCAAACCTAAAACAAGTATATAAATGAAGGTTCGTCAATGGTGGCTAGTTTTGATCCCATAAACCACCGGAAAAATGGCATATATTACTTCTAATGCCTTGCCTGCAGATGCAGGAGAGAGTTTTCAGACATTGAATGGTTCAAACGTACTGAAGGTATGCATAAAGTTGCCGCCAAATATTCACTCAGACGGCATATGGGATTACATAGACCACGGTGTTCATAACCCGCTAGAGGCTACGTTGCCGCGGCTGGAGCTGCAACTTCTTGGAGTTCTCTTCCTTACCCAGCTTCTCCATTATGCTTTTAAAAGATCCGGAGTCCCAATGTTTGTTTCACAGTGTCTTGTAAGTGTGTCTCTTTCAAGATTCAGTTCCTTAATTTTGTGCATGTTTGGATCCTCCTGAATTCTTATCGTTTGTGGAATATTTATATAGGCCGGCCTCATTTTAGGTCGCACGGTACTGGGGCAGAATGAAAGTTATAGTCGAATCATGCTTTCATATCACAGCCAAGAAATTATTGACACAATGGCAGGATTCAGCTTCGGACTATCTCTATTTCTACTGGGCATTAGAATGGATGTCAGCTTGATATTTAGAACAGGAAAGAGGACATTCTACACTGGTGCAACATCTTTCTTGATACCTTTAGTCCTTGGCTTGCTAGCAGTGGAACAAGCTTGCAGATTATGGGGTCTAAACTCAGACGAGGAAATGAAACTCATTGCGGTTACCATCGTACATTCCGCTTCTGTGTCTTCTGTTCTTGCTAACCTGCTCCTTGATCTTCAGATCATCAACTCAGAGATTGGACGGTTAGGGTTATCCACAGCCATGGTTTCTGATATGTTAAGCGTATTCGTCACTGGTGTGATCATCTTATTGAAGGCTATTCAAACACAGACGGTGGTATCTCTGGCAGAGATAGCATCAGTTCTGGTGTATATCATTTTAGTCGTGCTCATTTTTAGGCCAGCAATGAGTTGGGTTGTCAGGAAAACGCCAGAAGGCAGGCCTGTTAAGAATTTATACACTCATGCAGTTATTCTTGGAGCTCTGGCATCTAGTATTCTCTCTATTTGGTTCAGCACATTCATCTTCGTTGGTCCTCTAGTTTTTGGGTTAGCTGTACCAGATGGACCGCCATTAGGATCTGCAGTGCTTGCTAAGCTTGATGATCTCGTCAATGGCGTGGTTTTTCCTCTTTTTATAACCACTTGCACCATGAAAGCTGATCTCTTCGACCTTGCATTTGATGCCCATTTGATGAAGGGCACTATAATGGTGGTAGCTGTCATAACCATAGCAAAATTTATTGCCTCTATGGTTCCTTCTTATTTCTGCAAGATGCCTATAAAGGACACTGCAGCATTTGGGATCATGATGTGCTGCAAAGGGATAGTGGAGATGGGCACCTATGTCTTCTGCGCAGACAATGGGGTAATTCTCTTTGAAGCTCCATTCATGTCATTTATTCTTTCTTTCTTTCTTGTACATGCCGGTTTTCAATTTTTTCTTACTGTTTCTCTGTAGATCATAACCAGACATATGTTTGATCTGTTAATTGTTATAATTCTGGTCACGAGAACCACCGTCACCATCGCAGTTAAATGGCTATATGATCCTTCAAGGATATATGCAGGCTACCAAAAAAGAAATATAATGCATTCCAAACCCAATTCAGAGCTTCATATACTCGCCTGTATTTACAAGCCCAGCAACATTCCAAAAATCATCAATTTTCTTGCAGCCCTGGGTCCAACCACACACAGACCTCTTGCCCTTTATGTCCTTCATCTAATTGAGCTATGCGGAACAAGCGTCCCTCTCTTCATCTCCCATCGGTTGCAGACGAAAACTGTCTTGAGAAGCCCCTACTCTGAAAATGTTATTCTATCTTTCAAATGCTTTCAAGAAGAAAATGAAGGCATAACTCAATTGAACACGTTCACTGCTATCTCCCCACCCAAGTTCATGCACGAGGATATATGTTTGCTTGCTCTCAACAATCTCACCTCCCTTATACTACTCCCTTTCCATGGGAAATGGTCAGTTGGTGGGTTTTTAGAATCACAAGACACCAACACAAGGGCCTTGAATTGTAGTGTCCTTGAAAGAGCACCTTGTTCTGTGGGAATCCTTATTGATCGAGGTTTTTCAGGACAATTAACTTTGAGGGGAAATTCGAAACCCTCGTCTCTCTCCATTGCCATGATCTTCTTTGGAGGTAGTGATGACCGTGAGGCATTGACCCTAGCAAAACGCATGAGCCAGAATACAAGAAATATGCTAACTGTGCTCCGGTTCATTGACAAGAACGATAAGGGTGGAACAGATTGGGAGAAAATGCTCGACTCAGAGGTGTTGAGAGAGATAAAACCTAAAGAAATCACAAATCCAAGAGTTAAATACAAGGAATTAGTGGCAGATGGACGACAAGCAGCATCTGTAATTCAAAGTACAGCACATAAATTCGACCTTATTATTGTTGGGAGACGACACAACCTGGAAACTTCACAAACCTCAGATCTCAGCAGGTGGAACAAGTTCCCGGAGCTAGGCGTTATAGGAAACTTTCTTGTCTCAGCAAACCTCCCTTGCAGAAATTCAATTTTGGTTGTACAACAACAGCAAACTGTATAATACTGTGATTCAACACATCAATTAATTTTGTAGCTTTGCTTTTAGGAAATATCGGTATTTTCTTTATTTGGAGGCATGGCTTTTATACTTAAACACTTTCATTCTCCTTCCTTAAGTCCGACGAATGAAATTGAAGCCAACCTTCTTGTAAATAATACAAATAAGTATACAGTTGTTTTTTTATATAGATGAATAAAACATACACCCTATGCACATTGAACGAACAACATCCAATTACAAGGATGCTTTGAAATTCACAATATTCAGACCTTCAAAAGCAAACTAATGCAGGTCACAAGTCATAGGAACTAGGGAGACCAAGCCATAATAGATGCCTCCGAGGTCGGTCCAAAAACCTGGCTTGCCATGCAGGTTCATCGCTTTCATAGATGAAACCACTTTTTGTGTACAATTTCTTTGCTGCTTCATTGTCAACGGCAACATGAACATACAGATCCGTTATGCCTGAAAATACAGCAGACTTAGGCTAGGATGAGGCCAGGCCAAGTAAGTGCAGTGTGGGTGCAGTTAAATCAAAGATATCAACAACCAAAATAAATGCGCGCAACAAATTGCAAAAACACTCATTTCCAATTGAAAGATCCTATAAAGCACTAAAGCGATCAGAGGTAAAAATATTAAATTTACGAGTACAACTTTCTTGGTAAAGATGCATGATAATAGATAAGTTTCAAAGAAGTTGTTACCCCATTCTTTAGCAACTACTTTTGACTTTGCAATAAGTTTGTAACCCAGCCCATTCCTGTGCAGTTCTTTGGCAACGCATACATTGCTCAGATATGCTCTCGCAAAATCAGCACCAATCCCCTGTTAGGGTAAACTCTTACAAGATCTCAACTCTATAATAATGTAATTCTTTCAAATAAAAAAAAACTGCATCAGATCTATAAGTAAGGCCGGTTAGACAAAATGCAGTAAAGCTAATACAAAAATACTTCTGAAACTATATATCTCAGTCAAGCCCGCCCCCTTCCCCACCAAAAGAAGTAATTTCATAATAATTAGGACCTAGTTTCAAATAGGCCAACAATATGAACTGTCATAACAAAATGATTTGGAGAAGCTCAAGAGAATATCTCTCACAAGGATACTTGAAGAGAACAAATGAAAGGGTCAATGGCAAAGAGTTAAAAAAGGGAGTTTGTGACTCTGTGGAGAGATTAGACAACAAAAATTAAAAAGTCAATAACCCAGACATATCCCTTCGTCCTTTCTTTGAAGTGCATACACGCACTAGATATCATGAATTCCTTGAACCTAGCTGTTAAAACCTTCACTGGCGATCATAGTCCATTACTATAAACTTCTATAAACAGACTATAAGCATAATACAAGAACAGTCAAGTCATATTTAACAAAATACCTCTGGTTTCATTCCTGTTATCTCCTCCGGGAGTCTCATACATTGGTTAAGATCAAGGGTCCCAACTACGACTCGATCTTCACCATTGTCAGAATACTATGAAATACAAGGAAAAAAAATTCAGTTAGCAAGAAATTAAATACATGCAAACACACATTGAAACAGCTACTAGGGATTAAGTCCAAGGTTAGCCAAATGAAAAGGAAGAAATGTAAATTCTCAAGGAGAGAGAAAAAAAATAAAACCTATGCAGCAAGAGGAAGACCTACAAGGACGTTTCGTATGGAATTAAGAGAAGCAAAAGGGGAATTTAGTGTCCATGAAATAGCAAGAATGCTGGATGAAATCTAAGGTTGTGCATAACCTTAAGTAAAGCTTTTCTTCTCCAGATCATACCAAGCTTTATAAGACTGGACAAGAATGTCAGGCTCCCCCCTGCCCCCTCTTTCAAAAAGGCACACATGAAAACCAAACCTTTCCAGGAATCAGCTGGGTTGAAGTCAGCTTTCTATAAACCAATTAGGACATAACTCATTGCTTGATATTCAATCAAATTTTAGTATAATCATAAAGTTTTTAACCAGCAAAAGCCACAGCTAGTCTAGATCCCCTATCCAAAGTGCAGAATATTCAAGATCTGACATTCAGATATGTGCAGTTATTCCTTCCAGCATATTTTTCATCAAATGTTGATTCCTGTTGACATTGATATGAACAATTTGATCAGATTTCTTAACATCCATATACTGAATGTGCAAAGTTTTTTAACTTTGTTGCACAGAGTAAAAGTCACAGAATATGACTAAATTAATGAAGTCTAGACGAACGGTGCAACTCTGAAGTTTTACTTAGTATAAGAGAGTAGAGCTTCCACCCAGTAAAGCACAAGATAATTTCACCCCTTTTTTCATCGACACAACCTTTTCACTAGTGAGGAAATTGAAATGATCTCAATTCTAAAACCTTACACAAATTAAATCAGGAAAGAAACAAACAAACCTTACATGCATCACACAGATCATCCGACAAGCTTGACACTTGTGATAATGGAAGAGTAGCATTTATGCAAGAAACCCTCCTAAAGCCCTCCCTCTTCCCTGTAATCCGGTCCGTTATCGCTTCGAATTCACGCTCCGCCAAATACTTTTGATGATCCTAATAAAACTTGACAATGATAAAATAACATCAATATTATATCCAAAACACAAGAAGATCACTCGAGAAATATCTTGTTACTTAGTTGTTTGAACGACCCTCTGATTTTTAATAGACAAGAAGAAACAAAGATTTGCTTCCGACATGCCACAAAGCTTGGAGCTCAGGCCACGTGAAAATTGCAGCAACCACGACCAGGCATCACTATTCAAATTGGACAAAAAAATGAATCAATTTTTCTCTCGAATAAGTTCTATCTTCCATTAATCTTTTCCTTTGTTCACCGTAAGTAACGCATCTAAAAGATCAGTTGTAAATGGATGTTTCCACGACACACCATGCCAAGACATCCTTCCCGTATGAAATTCACATTTTACACTGATATTCGCTCTAACGGATGATAAAATAAAATTAAATTAAAAAAAAAATTAGAAGATCACTGTTCTAGACATGAATGATTCTTCTACGTCAATCTATGGTTTGACAAGACCAACCGACAAGTTAGAAAGAGTAAAACAATTTTTAAAAAAATGAAGAGCGAGACTGCTACTATTTCATCCAGAAGGAGTTATCTTGCTAGAATTGACTAGTTAACTTGCTAGAATTGACTATTTAAACTGTTCTCACAACAGAAAAGACACTGAGCACTTCGATTTCCTCCAAGTTTCTCACAGTCCAAGCAAAGAATCGGAACTTGAAATTACTAAAAAGAAAAAGAAAAAGCGACTGACTTGGATGGCGTAAGCGGAAGGATCGAACTCGTAGAAGGACCGAACACGGAGGCATGCGGCAGCCCAGAGTTGGTGCTCCGACGCCGTTTCAGCGAAAACCAGCAACGACTTGTCAATAGTAGGCGCGCAGATGTGTGAGGCAAAGAGAGGACGGAGGCGCTTGCGACGGGTGAAAGCGAAAGCGGAGGATCGGGGAGCGATACTAGAAGAATTAGGGCAACACATGAGGCTTTGAGAATCGATGGAGTTGGCAATGGCAGAAGAGATCGGAGAAGGAAGAGATGAGAGCATCGCCATTTGATTTTTTTTTTTTTAAATTCTATTTTTCTCCCCTCCCTTTAGTTGCTTCGTTTATCTTTTATTTCTGGATACAGTTGTATGTTGTTAAATAAAATTTAAAAATATATTTATTTTATTCGGATAGTAATTAATTTTTTTTAAAAAAAAAAAGACAAGAAAGATTATCCGTTTAAGTAAAATATAATATATTTTTAAATTTTATCTAACGTATCTTTTATATAATTATTTATAGAAGTATAGTTAATTTATAAAATGATAAAAATCAATAAAATAATTTATTAAAAGATGCAAAAATTTTATTTCAAACTTTTTTTAGTTTTATTATCATTTTCACTTTTTTCATTATTAACTTGTTTATATTTTTGCAAATACAAAATATAAATTTAGAAAAATAAAAATAATAAAACATTTCCACATATAAAAGGAAGTATCCAACTTTATTTAATATAAATTAGTTCATATGTAATATCTGGGCCGGAACTTGGTTGGGAATTTATTTTAAAATTTTAAAAATGTATAAAAAATTAAATTTTAAAATTAATAAAATTTATTTAATGTGAAATTATATAAAAAAATAAATTGAAGACGAAATTGAAAAAGTGCAGTTATGTTAACTCAGCTAATGGTTTCAGAATGCAGGATAATAGGGGTCACACAACAGATATGACTTCAGGATCTGAAGAGAGTTACATATTTGGCCCACCTGACTGTTCAACCTGAGTTGATCCAGAGAATAAAAGAAGTCTAATCCGCCGATTTCACCCTATTAGCTCTCAGGAAGGATGCAGAATAAGGAATAAATTCAGAATTTCGAGTCTCTTCCGATGGGTTGCTCAGATTTCAGGACAATGTGTGTATTTCATATGATAGTGAACTGAAAAGAGACATCATGACAGAGACTCATATCTCAAAGTTTGTCATACATCCCGAAAAAATTAAAATATATCAAAGTATGTGACCCCATATTTGGCGGAATGGGATGAAAAGAGAGATGATCGACTTTGTTTCCAAGTGTCTAGTGTATTAGTAGGTTAATGCAGTGCATTAACGTTCAAGCAGGCTACTTCAGCCATTATCAATTCCGGAATAGAAATGGAAACACATCACAATAGATTTCGTGACAGGATTGTCTAGGGTACGCTTGGGATATAATGTCATTTGGGTAATTGTTGACTGGCTCACCAAGTTTTCTCATTTATTGGCCATTAAGATGACCGACCCCTCGGGCAAGCTAGCAAAGATGTATATTCAGGAGATAATCAGATTACATGGAGTGCTAGTGACAGTAGTATCTGACAATGACTCCAAGTTTACTTTTCGGTTATGATATAGTTTTCAGCAAGTCATGAGACCGAAACTATCTCTTAGTACCGCATTCCACCCTCAAATCGATGGACAATCAGAAACGACGATCCGCACACTAGAGGATATGCTCCGAATTTATTTTTTAACTTCGAGGGCCATTGGAATGATCATTTACTATTGATAGAGTTCGCATACAATAACAGTTATCAAGCAAATATCGGTATGGCTCCGTACGAGACGTTATATAGCCGCCAATGCAGATCGTCGATCTGTTGAGAAGATGTAAGTGATAGGAAATTGTTCAACCTAGATATTATGGAGGAGACTACAGCCAAAATAATTAAGATCAAGAATAATATCCAGACGGCTAAGAGTAGACAGAAGAGTTATGCGGACACCCAGATGAGGGATTTGGAATTTGAGAAATGTGATCGAGTGTTCTTTAAGGTCGCCAATTTCAAGAGAATCAGTAGGTTTGGCAATAATAGAAAACCTTATACAGAATCGGTATCGCCACCTACAGACTGACACTACCTCCAGAATTATCCAGAGTCCATAATGTATTTCATGTGTCTATGTTACGCAAATACAACTCGGACCCCTCTCACATCTTGGCTCACGAGCCCCTTTTACTTTATGAAGATCTGTCATATGAGGAGGTGCCGGTGGACATTATAAATTGAAAGAGCAGAGTACTCTGTAATTGAAAAATTCTCTTTATTAAGATCCTATGACAGAATCATACACAGAGAGAGGTCACATAGGAACTAAAAATAGACTTCAGAACCCAACATTCCTAACTGTTTGATTGAGCGAGAAAGAGACAAATTTAAAGGGCCAAATTTCCTTTTAAGGAGGAGAGAGTTGTAATATCTGGACTCGATATTTGGCCCATGATTAATTTTAAATTTTAAAAAATATATAAAAATTTAATTTTAAAATTAATAAAATTTAATTTAATGTGAACTTATGGAAAAAAAATAGGTTGAGGACGAAGTTGAAAATAATTTTGGAAAAAAGTGGTGAAAATTTGGGTTCGGATGGTGTTTTTGAAAGAAAAATTAGAAATTGATGGTCAGAATATAATTAAAAAAATGGCACCACGTAGGACTGCCCAGTCAGCAATCTCGACGAATTGGAGTACACCGCGTGGTAAGGCACGCTGACTCGGTGCCACGCAGGAGGTAACACTGGCGATATGTGTGCCCCGCGTTGGACAGTTGAGATCAAACGCGATGAATGAACCAGATTTACACGAGACAAAATATTTTGCATCACACCGAACCCAAACCCTAGTCGCCAGCCTCCCGTTGGAGAAAAAGAACCAATCGCAAGAGAAAGGAGCCGACCGCCGCCTGTTGCTGCGCCGGAGCCACCTCCAACTGCCAAAAATGGTTGATCAAAGAAAAACACCCAGCCGCGAAGTTGAGCCGGCAGAGTTGCCGCACTGAAAAATTCCACCGTTGATAGGTTTTTATTTTTTGACTTTTTTCGACCAATTGAGGCCCCCTAATGTGTTTTCTCGCAGAGATGAGTATAAAACTGACCGAAACTGGCCAAACCGAGGCAAACCGCCACGGTGGGTGGTGGTGTTATCACTGGAGCACAGCAGTGTCGCCGTGCTGGAATTTCAAAATTGGGCGAAAAAAATTTTTAACACCGATTTTGAATTTTTTAAGATATTTTTAAGTACGTAAAACGTATTTTAATATCTGCAGGAAAATTCAAGAAATCCAGGGACCGCTAGTAAACGCAGTAGAAAGTTCAGTGATTCGGACATCGATTCGGGTAAGAATTTCTCACCTTATTCTCTATTATGGAATTGAAGTTTAATAATCGATAATATAGTTTTTTGTGTAATTTATAAAATTTTGAGAATAATTATAAGTTACTAACTGAGCCGGAATCAGTTAGTTATTTATTTGTCTTGTTTAACTGATTGTTAAATTTACAGTTTTAAAAATATGATGATATACTGAAATGGTTAAATTATTCAGTTGTGATTCCTTGATATGTATATTGTTTGTCTTGCGTAATTTACAGTTGATTTGTGAAATTAGAAATTAGTATGCAAACAAAAAATTGTTTTTACTTACTTGAATATGAGATTGGAATGTTATTTGAGTTATTGTCTCTATAGGTCGATTTTAAAAATCCTGCAACGGTAAATATGCGCAATAAATGATTTTTTTTATGATAAATGAATTTATTTAAATCAAAAGTTTCATTGGTTGTTTTTATTATTTTTACCAACCTTAAATTTTTGTATTGGTGAGTAGTATGATATTCTTATTAGGTTAGTGTAACTCACCATTTCATTAACTATTTCAGATCAAGAGGACTAAGACCCAGATCCCGATCAACAAGAGGGTTGTGAATAGTTCACCACTCGAACTTCCTTCAATAGCTAGTGAATGTCGTCTTATAATGCTCAATATATTATCTTTTGTTTAATTTTTTAATTTTTGTTTGTTCTTTTAGAAAGAACATTCTCGTATCTCTATTGGTCATTTTAAATTATTGTGTAAAGAATGTAAATCTTAAACTTTATTATTTCGCTTCCGCATTTAATCCATGACTTTATTATCTTTTAAGTTTCGGATCATTGCATCATAAAATTTAATATATGTTATAATTTGATCATTTATTTTTTTTACAATTTGATTTTTGATATTTTATAGTTGTTTTAAATATATAATTTCTTTCAATTTTAATAGAAGAGTTAAAATAAGTATGTTACATTCAAATGCTTTAAAAAATAACTTTAAGAACAATAAAATAAATTGAATAATTTAATTAATTTACAAATATATAAATGTGTTCCTTTTTTTTTTTTTTTTTGCATGGACCCGATCAATAATACTATTAAAGTGAAACATGAAATCTAAAAAAGAGTAAAAATTAAATTATATTAATAATAAATAAACTCTTTATATATAAAAATCTCAATATACTTTAAAAATTAAAGTGAATCATAAGATTCAAAACCACGCAGAAAATACAAAGTCATGATTAATGATTAATTTTATAAGTTAGTTTGGTAATTTTTTTGAAATTAAACAAAAAATAAATTTTGAAAAATAAAAAATCTAGTTATAGCAATACGTTAAGTAAGAGATACCAGACGCAATAAATACAAACAATTAATCACTTCCTCCGCCCACTGGGAAGAAAACAATCAAGTGGGATTGCAGAAGGCAGATACCATGTCCAGAGTTAAAAGAGTTAACCGTGAACCGCAGAGGTGCAAATGTTATAATATTTTTGGAGTGCTGACTGTAGGACAGACAGAGTGGCGTGCAGAGAGCACATGTCAAGAGTGTTATACATATATATATATACGGGCATAAGTATCTTTCTCTTACGTAGCCTAATTTGTATATATAACCAGAACCTACTTACACACACATGCTTCACACTGTATTGTCACCTCAACAAAAGCTTGTGTTATGATTATCAAAATTAATGCCCCTGCCACAACATGCATCATCCTTTTTCCCACTCCCCCAACTTTCCCCCTGCATTAACTTTAGTCAAAATTTTCACTTAATTTAACATCACCCACATAAACATATATATGTATATATATATATATAGTCTTCTCTTTTGCAAATCTCTGGTTGAGGTCAGCTTTTCCATTGCAAAGCTGTTTTATGTTTTTTCTCACCAAATAAGTATCAAAAGATCTCCTTTGCCAGTCTATCCAACATTGGGTTTTGTGTATCTCAAGTCATTCTTAGAGTCTAGTTTCAAAACCTTCCGACCCTTGGAGCAATTTCTTTGTTTTGTATGGTATTATATTAGAAACTTACAAGATAGATTGGTAATAAGTCAAAAGGAAGTGGGAGAAAAAGAAACAGCATTTTACTTGCTGATTCTGCTTCTTCAAACGCATGGATTGCCTAGTGTTAAATCTGAACTTGAAAATCCGAGTTCCCATGCTCTTATTCTTCCAAATTTTCGTAACTGAGAAGGTAAAAGATGTGACAGAGCGATGAAAGAGATGGGTCAGTCATTACTTACACTGCTATTCCTGTACTTCCCTCACTGTCATTTCTCAAATCAGTCACCATTTTACCCGTTGATAATCCAAGACTTCTCAATATAAATGAGGTTGAGAGAGAGAAATAGAAGAGAGTTTTTATTTATTTATTTTAAACTTTTTGTACTGCAAAACAAAAACACATTTTTGGAATGTCAGTCTTCTCTCTTCCTCATTTATTTCCCTCCCTCTTTTCACTATATGAACTCCATCCATCTCTTCAACCAGCATCTCCTCTTGCCTATTTATATCACATCTCACCTTATCCTAACGGCTATCATAAATTTCTTTGTACTCCGTTTTCTTTTTTTTTTTCTCCTTCATGCCCTCTGTCTTTTCTTCTTTTAAATGGAACATAACGTCTGTTCATGGTATCTCCATACCAGTAGGAGATACCGCAAGCCATTCAGCCGCTTCACTTCCCCAGCGTTTGGAGCATGAAGCAGATTTACAACTCTAACTGGTGCTATCCTAGCTGAGCTTCTCTCTCTCTCTCTCTCTCTTTCTTTTTTTAAATATTTTTCTTGACCTTGCAGACTTTTTAGGTTTTGTAAGATCACTCTCACGTCTCTTTTTTCTCTTGTTACGTTTACACTCTCGTTTCGACTTTGTCAACTCTCCCATATTTTCTTTTCTTATCTATTCCTCCTGAGCTTTATCACGCAAATCCTTATGTAGGTTTGCTTCGTTGACTGTTATGTATCTTTAATTGTAATTGGATGAAATTGAAAGTTTAAATCTATTCTCTTGTCGTATGCGGATCGTCTTCAGTGTCCGAATTTTTGCCTTTTGTTTAATGTTGTCATCAAGAGAAGATTACAAAAGTAAGTATTGGCAGGTTACAGAAGCTTCAGTATAATTTCGCATGACCAAAAATGTAGTGTATGTATATACACATGAATAACGGGTATGACTGGCCACCCCATAACATAATTTCTCCTTTTTAGTAAATGTTAAAAACTTCCAGTCTCATCCAGTTATAGGAGTTTCATGCATACAAACGTTCATATACAGTTGCACCCGCCTCCTAATATCAGTATGATTCACAGTATTAGGTTCAACAATACATTATTTTAAGTGCAAAGTAGTGCTATAATTCTGGTCAGCATATATATATATATATAAATATATATATCACCTGCTACGTGAAGACGAAGCTAGTGTTAAATGTATTGTTTCCCAGGATGTAGAAACTAGGGTGGCCCACAATTCAAGTTGAAGCTAAATGAGCTCATGAAGTTTAACAATATATACGAAGAAACACTGCATTTACGATATTATATATGAATTCTTAATGAAAAGGAAGAAAGAAACATATATATACACATTATGTATGGGAAGAAAACAAACACATCTATGTCTCAAAGTTTCAGTTTCTGGTTATGTAATTACTGTCAAAAGATCCAAGTTCCTCAAATTTGTCCTTTCACTGAGTCTGAAATTAAAAGTGTCCGAACGAGGAATAATGGGAAAAGCTATGAGTCACATTGATGCATTCTATACCTGGGTAGCAGATGATTTTTTCATCTATATTTACAACAGATTCCGGTCAAACTTATCCGCATGTGATCCTTATAAGCATCCAGTTGATTTCTGGGACAAAAAGTAAGCACAGAGATATGCATCGTATAGATGAAAGAGAGAAAAGAATCAGCACCCACTGCCTGTAGTTACATATTGATTAAGTGCAAAGAACCATGACCTCCGGCCCTCTGTATGAGAAACTGACCGTCGGTAACTGGATCTTGCGCACCTAGCTAGCTGGTTACGTAAGTTGCATGGGACTAAAGAAGGACTAGTATCTGGAGCTCCCATGCAAAGGCTTGAATTGATTTTCATTGATGGAAACCTCTGGCAGCTTAGAGAACGAAGGGGAGATCCCAGTGGAGAAATCCTGGTGCAATGGATATTGGGATTGCAAAATGGGGTTGTTAAAGAAGCCATTTCCGGTCCATCATCACCTGAACATGTACAAAATGAAAGGGATAAACTTGTTCTTGCAATTGTCTTGACTATTTTTGGCCTTGTTTCTGGGAGTTTAACAAATGAAACTATGCCCTGTCGGCAGAGAGGACAGGCAATGGAGCCTGGGGGATCTTGAGCTACACTTGTGCTATTAGTAGAACAGAGGTACAAGGCACACCTTGTGCAGAACTCATGCTCACAACCTGCACCAATGCCACATTCTCATATATATAATCTTGTGAAGTATCTTTAAATTCTCTAATTGAACTAATTGTACGTTTGAAAAATGAGTTACTATAAGATTCTGGATTTGTTCCACGTATAGAATTCAAACTTCAGATAAAATGCATTTCCCATATCATCTATGAACATTGACGACAATACTTTTAACAAGCAGAAAAAGAAAGATGACAAAGGTCAATTACCTTCTGCCGCTACTGTGCACTTTCTTTCTAAGCATACTACACATGGATCTTGACACGGTAGACAATCATTGCTCCTCCATCCACATTCTCTGCACATAAGACAAGCATAAACAAATATTTCAAAATGGTCATTGGCAACTTTCCAAAGAAACAAGGGTTCTTCAATAACTGAGTTCTTAGTTAATGATGAGTTCTTGGGATGTTATCTCTGCCTTCAATTTCAAGGAACATGGTCATATCATGATCAACACTCTGATATCTCCCTAATATAAACCAGGAAACAAGAGGTATTCTCTTGGTACAGAAAATACTTTTAAACTAATATCATAAATATTGTCCAGATTTGAACTACTTCACAATCCGTATTCTATCTTCTCTTTTTTTTTTGTAAGTCATTTCGTTCATTCGAAAAAAATAATTATGATGAATCTAGACAGATATTTATTATGTTAAGTAACCCAGAGCATGCCATTTTGAAGCGGTTCAGTAATTAAACTTTCATGAATCCTTTATTATTTGTTCAAAGTAAGAAAAGTAGAAATATAATTAGGATAACCCACTTGACCTAGTGGCCAAGCTCATCATCCCATGAGATGTAGAGCATAGGGTACAGTCTGCACCCCCCTCCGCAGGTTTAAATTCTGGTGTGACTTGTATCTAACAAAAAAATATTTGCCAAATCTTAACACTGCACAAGCGAATCGGTTGATTCACGATGACCATGACAATAGTTTCAATCCTATAAGGTTTTTAGTTGTAAAAATGTACATGGTCAAGGCTACATAAGATATCCATGATACTACTCGTTGAGAACGTAAACAAAATTGTAATAAAATCCTTGATAAAGGATCTATCTCTAGTAATTTGATCATCACCCAAATATGAGAATTGACATTCCATATAGGCCGAGGCGTGAGTCAGTGCAAAGCCAAACGAATTGCATGGGCTTTCTCACCTAGCAATTTTGACGATGCTCATCAGGGGAAGAGACAGATAAGGTGAAGGAAGAATTTGAGGTTGGCCTTCTGATTGAATGCTAAGAATTTCCTCAAGCCAATTTCTATGCCATGAACGAGCAACCATCAAGGGAGTCCATCTAATAAATATACACAAACAGAAATATGCAATCAATTAGTCAAAATACAAAGAGAAAGAGTTCCCAGAACCGGAAAAGAAGCAGAGAGGGGTATCTTTTTGTGGAGTTTCCACAGAGCAGAAAGATGTTCTGATTTTAGTGCAAACAAACAAATACCAAAGGGCTTTGTTTCACTCAAAATGACAAACGAATAAGCTCATAGGAAAAAGAAGACATACATTCTAACAACTACAAATATGAACAGCCTAGATGCATACCCATTAGTATTTTCAGCAGTCAGGCTGGCGCACCGGGCAATCAAAAGCTGAAGAATCATGCAGACGACAATGAGAACAGTTTTGATAAACGCAGAAAGATAACCAAATTAGATTTATTTTTTTTTCTCTCCAACTTAATATTACACCTGACAACATTGGGCATTTCCACCACATGCAGCGTAATGCAGAGCTGTGCTCCCAGCACCTGCATTATTGAAGATATGATTAGGCAAAGAGAAAGAGAAATAAAAAGAATGAGCTATTAGAACCAACAAAGTCACTGCATAAGGATTAGAGATGGATGCAACTAACATTTTCTGCTTCAATAACATGAGGTATCACCCTTTTTCTTATAGAATAGAACTCCACAAACTTAATCATGTTACTGCTTCTAATTCAATAAAAGATGGCAGGAATATAGCAAGCCAGTATTAGTATAATCAAGTTGAACCCCAGTGCATAGTATTTATGTAAATGAAAATATATTCCATCCAAGAATTTTACCACTTTTAAATCCCTCATACATACGAATCCTGAACAAAATTGTCAACCAAAACTTTTATCAAGTTTGATTAAAAATATTGTGAAATTTTTTCTGGTTAATATAATGATCTTAGTAGGAAAGAATTACGATTCAAAGATGAATTGTAAAATCACTTCTTTTCTCTTTTCAGTACTTCCTTTGCATTCTTTTTGTATGTATAATTGCAGCCGTATATAGATAGGTGGTACCTATAAGATCAATTGTGGTTCCATCTTCAACTGTGATCTCAGTGATAGAAGCTCCCAAGTCCAAGAGTAACTGAACACTTTCAACATGCCCATTCAGTGCAGCCATATGCAGAGCAGTGACACCTCCATCAGCTGCTCTATTAATTACCTCACAAAAACCACTGCTAAAAATAAAGGAACGAGAAGACAAATCAAGACAGCAGACTTGATGCAGATCATACATTTGCAAGATAACTCTCAATATGAGCTTACCCTTCATCAAAATCAGAGGTTGAGTGTCTGCTGTCAGATGTCTTTGCTAATGAGTTCCAAATATCAGCGATGCTAGGTATGTAGTCTGCAAGGAGGAGGCGTATGCAACGGAAATGACCATTCAAAGCAGCCAGGTGGAGTGCAGTACCTCCATTGAGATAATCTGCTCTGTGAATCTAAACCCAATTCGCCAATATGTTTGTCAAACCTTGAATTTTGTAATTACAATGTCTTTAGAAAGCTGAAAAAATCAAAGTAAATGCCTTACATTAGCCTTAAAAAGAACTAGAATCTGAACAACCTCCCAGTGACCATGTTGACAAGCTTGCATCAGAGCAGTCTGTTCACGAAAGTGGCCAAGATAATGTTTTATGGTGACTAGCAAAATCCACAGCAGAAGAATTTACTCTAATTTACACAAGTCCTTTCACTGATTGATTAATAAAAAGAACCAAAAGTTCCGTTAGGCATATATAATGCCATTACCTGACCACGATAATTCCTGAGATTAATATCAACACCAGACTCAACCAAGAGAGAGACAATCTAAAGACAAGAAAGATATAATCATCAAAACAAGAAGGATACTAGTCTGTAATATGTAAACAATTGATATATACCAAGAGACCTTATTCAAACTCAAACATTAAGCTACAATGGTACCTCATGGTGGCCTTGAGCTGCAGAATAATGGAGAGGTGAATTGCGGACTCCAAAAGTTGAGTACCTCACGAGCCTAGGATTATATTCTAGTAAAGCCTTGGCTTCTTGAAGATCTCCATCCCTGGCTGCAGAAACTAAGCGCTCCCCAGATGCCGAACAACCAAAAGAATTCCCCACAAGGCTGAAAAACCTCATGATCCTTATGAAAAGCTAGAATCTCCCCAAATTTCACAAATGAACTGTACTAAAGGACTTGTGATCAAACACTTGGAGAAGATGTTTAAAATGCAGAGAATATGATCTGCGAACAGGACTTGACCAAAGCAATCAATGAAACAAGTCTGTAACATACACAAAAAAGAATTGGGTACAACGGCCAAACTCTCACAAACTTTAGATGATTCCTATGATGAATTGACAAACCAAAAGACTCTTGTCAACCTTAATTCTTGGAAAAGAATGAAAAAGAAAAAAAAAAAAAAAAACCCCTTCGCAACTACCCATTTAAAAAATTTGGGATGCTGTAGGGATTAGTTGAGGATCTTCGTGAACTTCGAAGGACCCTGTACACTCAACAAACAACTCCAAAATTTTCTTCAATCATTTCACCATTATATGCCAGAACTTCCCTCAAATAATCAATCATGAAATAATAAAATCCATTGTAAGAGGACTGAAAATCACCAATGCCCTCCTCAATACAATCCTTGGAGAATCAAATCTTGAATACCCAGTTACAATTTCGCCGGATAATCAAAATCTTCAATACCCAGATCAGTTACGTGCTTATTATCGGAGGAAAAGAAAAAAGAAAAAGAATCAACAAACCGAAAAATGAACTGAAACAACTTGACAGAGGGAGGACATGTTATCCAACAACGGACTCTGAAATGGCAATGGACTGTGTCATCAAATTGAAATTTACCAAAAATAAGGATCAAAGGATAAAAAGGAGATTACAGAGTGGGAAAATAGAAATATATATATATATATATATATATATATATGTGCGTATATGAAAAGGTGGGGGACGTTTTTTTACTGAAGAGACAACGACCCTTTACTGCAACTTGACAAATTCAACCAACAATTGCCTCTCTGTAAAGGCGTCCTCGTCATAACTCATTGTTACCCAAAGAGCCATTTTAACTCCACAGTTGGATCTCTGTTCCTCCTCCTCCTCCTCTTCATCTTCTTCTTCTCAGCTTAATCGCTATGTTCATTTGGCGCAATAATTTCCCCGAGTAAAAATTTCCAGTTTCTTTTATACGGCGTAGGTCCATGAATTTTTCACTAAGAGCATGCCGCAGTGTACGGGATGATAAATAAATCAATCCCAGTGGTTATTTTGCTTCTACAACTGCCGATCATGTGTTTGTACCTCCCAACTCCTTCCAACCAGGCTAGAAAATTAGAAGATAACATCCTATATAATAAAAAAATATTAATTAAAGAGAAAAATGATGGTATTTCTTAATTTTCCGTATACTTTTCTATTGGAGAAATGTGATCAAAACAAGTATTTTATAATTTTAAATAAATAAAACTACTTGAAAGGTATATTAATTGTTAAAAAATCGATTTGGTTTGGGTGAATCAAAAAATTATTATTCTACTAAGCGAGTTCGTTTGACAAAATAATTAATGATTAATTAAAACAAATAATAATTTATTAATTAAAACAATTGACTTTGGTGTTTAAGGTATATAGTAAATAATATATACGATGAATATTTGTTATTACTGGTATATTAAAAGAATAACTAAAAAAAAAAAGTGAAAGAAAAAAAAATTACTATTGTTTTAACTTTTATTAATTATTATACCGAAATATTTATTATATTAGTTGATTTTTTTCTCTAAGTTCTTTTATTATTATTTTTATATATTTTTTAATTTTATATTTTTTAATTTTTATCTCATAAGTTATCATTTTAATTAATACAGGTTGTTTAATTTTGAATATATGGTTGATAATATATTAAATTTAGGATCCATAAACGATAACGTGACACATGACGTGATAGTCACTTGAAATTATAAAACTTAAAATTTTATTTGAGTCCCTCATTCTTGTCATCTTTTTCTTCTAAATTATAATATTAATTAATTAAGTATCGTCACAATAACTGACCAAATTGAGACTTATAACATATAAGAGGTGCAAATAATGATTCATCATCATTGTTTATGGGTGCAAGAGCAGTGGACTCCGTGGTTGCAAAGGAAAATGTAGGGTGGATCCAATGCATCTGATCTTCTCCTCCAGTCCATATAGATACGATTTTTTCTTCTTTCAATACTGCAGTGGAGTAAGATTGTATCATCTACTTCGAAGTTTTTCTCATTTACAAAATGACTCTAGTATTTTTTATAACATCGCTTTTGGTTATTATTCCAATAAAAATATATGAATTTTCATAATTTTTCGTTCAAGTTCTCAAAATTTAAGAGCGAACCCTTCTTGTTCAAAAATGAATCTAGTAAAAAAATACTATTGCAAATGTTGCTTCAGAAAATACCAAACAGTTTAATTTACCCACACCACTTGGGTCACCACTTCGCTAACATGTGCTCCTTAATAAGAAGTACGATGTTGGTAGTTGTGCCACTTGTCCAGTTTAGCTCTAAAACTGATAAGGTTGAATTTAAATCAGTTGATAGAGTTTTATTTTATTTAGTTGTCAGTGAAGCATTGATAAAATCAAGTTTCTTTGTAACTCTATCTTGTCGCATGATTTATAGTTATTTTTTAATATAGATCATATAAATTGCTTATCTATGAATATATTTGGTGGATATGCAAATTTCGATAAAAAGAGTCAGAATTTTAGAGCTTGAAATGGGACAAAGATGAGGAATGTGAAGTGAATGAAGAGTAATTAGGAAAAGAATAAAAAGAATTGGGACTCATACGTAAATTTGAATGTTTCTAATTTAATGTGACTATCAGGTCATGTACTATATTGTTATTGATATATCATATATTTATCACGTGTTTGACATTAAATAATTTATAAATGACAATTAAAGTTGATAATTAATAGGGTAAACATTCAAAATTATAACTATTTTTGTATATATAAAAGAATCAATTAATATAGAGACTAATAGAATATGTATATATGATTAATATTATTCTCAATTGGTAACTATTTTTGTCATCAAATTATTTTTTATATTAAATTTTAAATTAAAAATTACAACAAATTGATCCACTTAATGTTTTCTAATAACGAAAAGCACGAATTGAACCGTCATTTCATTAGCTTGTTGATTTAATTTTTTTTTTTTAAATCCTATTGGATTGCGGACAATAAGCAAAATTATAAAAAGAAAACAAATAAATAATCAGAAAAATCTAAATTAAATCATAACCCAACATGTTAATTCAGGCTGGTAAGCTGCAATATGTGTTGTATAAGCCTGTAAACAGTGGGGCCACTCGGAATATATATATATATATATATATATATATTTTAATAATGTATATTTATATTAGAGAATGTGCTAAGCACTAATCACACAAATATGTGTTAGTATACTATAACCCAACATGTTATCATTTATCGTGCATATATTTTTTGTAGGTCATTACATTACATTACATTTTTATGAGTATTAAACTATATTTAATTTTGTAATGTATGTGTGACCTTATGTAACATGACAGATGATCATTATTAAATAAAAAATTAAAAAAAAAATTATTGCAACTTTCTTCTTTCTTATTTTATGTTTTTAATATTTAATCTTTAGTTGTTTTAAAAATTCAAACTCCAATGAGAAGAAATTATGAGGAAAAGATAAAAAAAATTTAACATTTTGTACAACAAATTTATGAATTAAGATAAATTTTTTCAATTTGAAAATTAAATTCTAAAGAAGAAAATTAAATCTGATTATAAAAGTATGCCGGAGAATGGTTGACTAAAACGGTGAGTTCAGGAATAAAGAGAAGACTTAAAAACTGGCAAACCATGTTTTGAAAGCTCATGAAAAGTCAACCAAATACCCTCTGTTGATGAAAAAGTCAAACTCCATGGAAGTAGAACCCAACAAATCAAAACTCAAAAGAAGTAAGAAGTTAACTTCTCGCTACTGTTGGCTGTTGAGCAGAAGCTCACCTCTCTCTTTTTCTCCATCTTCTTCTTATTCTTCTCGTTCTCTCTCTCTCTCTATCTACTCTGTGGAAATTGAAACAAGAAACAAAATGAGAGAAGAGAATGGGTCTGGAATCCATTTCTGTTCTTCTTCGTTCTCCCTATCCCTCTCTAGAAACTGAAAGAAGAAGACCCATTTCTGTTCTTCTTTTCTTATCTGTGATCTTTCCTCTTCTGCCTTTCTTTCTGGCTTGTTCTCTCTACAGAACTGGCGGGCGGCGGAAAAAAGGAGTGGTGGTGGAGAAGGGTTTCGAGGGCGCTCATGTACGAGCCAACTAAAACCACTTGGGCCAGAGTAGTCATTGTAGATCAATATGCATTGGGCCCGAATCCGAATCCGAATCCGAATCCGAATCCGAATCGTACCATCAATAAACAGGAACATCATGGGGCTTGAAATTCACGTGGAGTTTCATTTGTGCATTAATTTAGTCATTTATATTGGTCTTTTAATTTCTAATTCAAACCCATTGACATTTTATTTTCCATAATTTGGTAACATTAATAACTAACCCCCTTTGACATTTGAAGTAAATGGGACAAAAGTAGTAGTTAATTGCCTCTCTGTGTGTGTACATGTATATATATATAGAGTTTTGAACTTATAAAAAAAAATTATGCAATCTAAATTGAATATTAGTTATAATTTAATACAAAAAATTGTACACATCAATTGTAATAAGCGTCTAAAATGGCATGATTAAATATTTTAATTTGATGTTTGATGAAGACAATTTAGGGTTGGACCATAGACGGCATTTGATGATTATGAGAAATTTGTTTTTATTGGAGTTGGGATCTGTGTTTTAATAAATGTTCACACATGGGAATCCCCCATAAACCGCCACATCTTCTCCATG